CCCTTATGCTGTTTCTAGTTATTAACAGGACCTGCTTAGAACTAGGGGAATTATCTAAAAATCTGGGTCGGTACGATTTTCACATGTAGACAAAACTAATAATTTGACTTTCAGTTAACTCATAGAACTGAGTTATTGTTTTAAACTGAGTGATGTACTATTCATATCTTGAGGTATAAAAAAGATTTATGCAACAACTTTTAACCCTGACAAAATTTAATATCACAGAGTGTTTACTAATGTTCACAACCATTTAAAATGTTGGGGCTCAAATTACTTTTATTGAATAAGGATGCATTAAATTAATCAAAAGATGTTTATAATGTTACAAAAGATTTCTATTTCAAATAAATGCTGTTCTTTTGAACTTTATATTCATCAAAAATTCTGAAAAAAATATCACAGTTTCCACCAAAATATTAAGCAGCACAGCTGTTTTCAGCACTGATAATAAGAAATGTTTCTCAAGCAGCAAATCAGCATAGAATGATTTCTGAAGGGTCATGTGACACTGAAGACTGGAGTAATGATGCTGAAAATTCAGCTTTACCATCACAAGAATAAATTACATTTTAAAATGTATTAAAATAGAAAAGCTATTTTAAATTGTAATAGTATTTCTTAATATTACTGTTGTACTGTGGAAGAAATACAGCCTTGGTGAGCTTCTTTCAAAAATGTTAAAAATCTTACTAGCCCCAAACATTCGACAGTGTATGTGACAGAGTTTGCATGTTTTCATCACAGGAGGAAATATAGACATTTAGCATGAAATTATACAAATATAATTACCTACAATTATAAAAACTGTAGAACTCACAAGAGCTGAGTGAACAGGTGAAATAGCTGATTTATAAAAAATTAATTATCTAAGGAAGTTAATAATAACCAGGGCTCGCAAAACTTCTAAATACCTGGCAGTCTTTCGGCAGGCACTTTTCAAATTTTGGTAGCCCGAAATAAATTTATCTAGCCCAGATTACAAAAAGAAAATATTTTTAGAACCTAGGATAGGGGTCAAAAACATTTCAAAACACAAATATCAAGGAAGGAATTTTATTTCACTATTTACAGGGTATCTGCAGGATTTTCAGGTAACTCTGTGAGTGGGGTAGGGCAATGTCTATGATGACATTAAACCGTAAAGTGAAACGATCTGCAGTTTAGATTAGGGATGCACCGATATGAAAATTTTGGCCGATACCGATAACCGATTATTCTTTATTTTTGAAAGCCGATAACCGATATGTTGGCCGATAAATCTATATCCAAATTGTTATATACTTTTTGAGAGCCTGATTACAAAAAAGGTCTCATCATTAAAAGCCACATCCCGAACACTTCAACATAAGCAGCCTAGTTTGAACGGTGTACGTTTTAAAAATATTTTTACTCTCCCATTACCAAATTTAGTCATAAAAAAGTCTTACAAATAAATAAAATAATGCATAAATAATGCAAACAAGTCACTGGACATCATTACACATGTAAAGAATCAAAATGAATGCGCCATAGATCAATAAAACGGAATAGCCTCTGCACGGACAATAATTAAATGATTTTAATTACTAAACCATATTGTTGATGAAAATAATAAGAGAAAAATACAAGTGGTTGTTGTTATTAATAATATATCAATGATTTTGAAAAAGTAACAAATTAATACCACTGTTTTAAATAGCAGCCATTGAGCTGCAGCTCAAGCTGAAGCTGAAGAGCTGAATGAACACGGTAAACTGAAGCGTTTTGCTGGCAGCTTATTTAACTCAAGGAAATGCATCCTGAGATTAATATTAATACAACATAAACATAATATTACAACTTATATATGAAATGACAAATGACGCAGTTATTGCATGCTATAGTCAGAATGTGTGATCCTGTTGTGGATGCGCTCTTCCCATAACAACGCGCTGAAACACGGCAACTAAACCCAAAGAATTCACAACGTTTTATTATAATAATGTTCTCATTAGAATGTTATATACACGACATTCCCAATCATAGTTATTAATGTTGTGCACTGCTGTTTGAGCTGCGTGCGCTGAGCTAAAGACGATCACCGGTAAACTGAAGCGCTCTTTTAACTTAACCAAACGCATTCTATATGAGATAAATCAGATATACATCAAATAAACACAATATTACAACGTACAATTGCACAAAAGGCTGCAAACGAACAGCGCGCATCTGAAGTGTCTCTGAAGGAACTGGAGTAATGATGCTGAAAATTCAGCTTTACCATCACAAGAATAAATTACATTTTAAAATGTATTAAAATAGAAAAGCTATTTTAAATTGTAATAGTATTTCTTAATATTACTGTTGTACTGTGGAAGAAATACAGCCTTGGTGAGCTTCTTTCAAAAATGTTAAAAATCTTACTAGCCCCAAACATTCGACAGTGTATGTGACAGAGTTTGCATGTTTTCATCACAGGAGGAAATATAGACATTTAGCATGAAATTATACAAATATAATTACCTACAATTATAAAAACTGTAGAACTCACAAGAGCTGAGTGAACAGGTGAAATAGCTGATTTATAAAAAATGTATTATCTAAGGAAGTTAATAATAACCAGGGCTCGCAAAACTTCTAAATACCTGGCA